TGCTCATTGGTAAATTCACTTGATAAAGCATAACGTTCAACTGTTGACGACTAAACCCACTGAAAATGAAAAGGGTTGATAGATTTGATTTAATGTTTGTGCTTAATGCTTTGAAGTATTGAACAGCCATGAAGAATGAACATTGAATATGTCGACATTGAGTTAATAACTGATTAAAATATGATTTCTCATTTGTTATTAGTTTTGATTTCACGGCATCATCTAGAAAAATTAGTGAATGCAAAAATTCTTTATCAAAATTTGAAATAGAAAGTGTTTCAAATAATTCATCCCGTTGTTTATCAATAATTTTATCCTCTAATCCTTGCTTCTTGATTGTATTATATAATTCTTTATACATTACAAAGTTTTTTAAATAATCTTCTGCTTCTTCTTGTGATAAATAAATAATTGGAATTTTGATTAAATGCTTTAAAGATTCAAATGTATCATCTGAAGGTGAACCTGAACGGTTGATATAAATTAACACATGTGAATAGGGTGAAGTGTTAGCAATAATGATAATTTGTTTTAATATCGTTAATGTTTTACCTTTATTTTGTTTACCAATTGCTGCAGTGATTGAATTTAAGTAACATTCAGAATATGGAATTTTCATTAATTTTTCCTTAGATAGAGCATTTCTATTATCACTCAATGCTTCATTAATCATATCATCTACGTATGTATTATTACTCCTGCTAATTCTTCATAAGGGGTGGATGAATTTAAATCCATTTAATCAAAAATAAATTTATAATTTTATACATTTCTATTCATCAATATTTCATCATATGAACTTCTATACTGTGGTGGTGTACCTGTTGGATGATATTTCAAACCTTCATCCGGTGTCCATGTCCAATACGTAGTCCTAGTAAACCAAACCTGAGGAGGATTTGTCACCTTTGAACAGTAAGTGTCATTTACACCCTGAATGATTGGATAAGCTTTCACTTGTACTGTAACTTGTGAGTTGAAAGTTTCTAATCCATCAAAGAAATACCCGCTCCATCACGTTGAACTGGAATAGTGCATAAGAATGAAGTTTGGTCTTTCCATGTTCTAGCTAATGGTGTGCCATCATCATCATTCAGTGGTCTAGTTAATGAGTCCTCGTATTCTTCCGTGCATTCATTCACTCCATCTAAATCAGAAGCTTGAAGCATACGTGTAAAGAATATGTCGCCCACTGTGGTCATCGCTTGATCGGGGAAGTTTCTGGAATCTATAGTGACCTGAAGACCTCGAAGCATTGGATTTTCTAAAACTGTTCTTTGCATTGCATTCTTCGGAAATGCTAACACAACATCTGTAACATTATGAAGAGCGTATGAGAAATCTGAGCTGATACCTTCAGGAGTGATGCAACCTCCATTTAGTGAACGAACGTCAATATGTTGAGCTGGAATCATGAATGGATCTTCCTTACTAAATAAACGTGGTATTGCTTTAACTGATTCTTCAATTAAACCGTATCCTGGTGTAATGCATTTATCCTCTAAAACCTCCATCTTTGTGCATGAAATAATAACGTCTTCAACTGTTGCGTCAGCAGATGTAGTGGCTAAGCTTGTAATTAATTTGGCAGGAAGTCCGATTTGTTGGAATTTGCGATCATATTTATAAACATGATTCATAATCTTTTCATAATTTTCATCAGTTATCTTTTCATAAACGTAATTTTGTAAATCAGCAACTCTTAACGGGTCAACCTGACAAAATACTAAAGTATCCCTGAAAACATAATATTTAAGAATGATTTCACCAAATGATTTAGGATAATCATCGAACGCCTGAAATGCTAACAAATCATTTACCGGAATAATCATATCAAAAGTGATATCAACTTCTTCATTTGCTTTCTTGAAAACTTCTGAAGGGTCAATATATTTACCACATACTGAGTTATCATATTTTTGAACATTATTATATAACGAATGAACAAACTTTTTAACTTTCCTTTCTGATTTTGGTTTATATGTTGCAAATGCGAAAGATTCACGGGCGCAATCCATCTGAAGATAACCGGCATCACCTCTTTCGGTTTCTACTTCTAATTGTTTAAAGCTTTGATTTGATGATTTGTAACCAACGAATAAACGCATGCATTTAAAAGCGGCATCACATGTGAAAGCTTTATTTGAAACTAGAGTTGCTTTAACTTTGCGTTTAATATATGTGTCACCTAATTGGTTCACATCATGAGCCGGATTTGTAATTCTTAAATGAGTTTGTTTATCATCAAAATATGGAGCATCAGAGTCATAGCATGAACTTTCAAGTTCTCTATAATATCTTCTTCCATCATTCTTTGCGAATATTTCATTTATCTTTTCGAATGAATGAAACACATTTCCATTAATCGGTTTAGTGTTTGGCACCAAATAGTTAGTCGTCATTTATTAATAAATAAAAAATCAAAATTAAAAGATGAAAATGAATTTTTAATTTTAATGAAATAATCAACTATGGCTGCAGGTATATTTAAGAAACTGTGGGATAAAGTAAAAAGAGGAGCGCATAAAGTTTGGGAAACATTGAAGAAGGGAGCAAATTGGATATTTAAGAATAAAGAAGCAATTAGTGACATTGCTGAATCAATAACACCTAATGTTCCGGTAAGGGAAGTATTAAATAAAGGAGAAAAAGTTTATCAAAGACTACAACCGATACTAAGATAAAAATAATATTTATTTATTTTTCCACTAACCACCTCCTATTTTATTAAGTATTCCTTCAGCAATTCCACCAATTGCGTTACCTGCTTGTGCTCCCATCGCCGGATTACCTGCTTTAGTACCTAATACTCCACCTATGATAGTTCCTGCCGTTTTCGCTACTGGTGCCAAAAAGTTTGCAACGGGTTTAATAATCTTTTGATGAACCCAACTTGCAGCTTTCTTAATTCCTTCCCATAATTTTTTAAAGAATCCTGCCGCCATCTCTGATTTAATATTAATTAAAAAATATATTTCATCACTTATATTCTAATTTTTTATTTAATGATAAATGAAACCGATTTTAAAAATAAATGAAACAAAGGAGAAGAAATAAATGAAAGTGAAAATGTTCAACAAAAAATAAACGTTGTTAAACCAATTACTGAAATAAAAATTTTTTCATCTGTTGAAGAATTTAATGATTATTATGCTAATAATAAAAAATTATTTGAAGAATTGACAACGTGTAAATTGAATAAAATGTTTAAAGTTGAGGACAGAGTCCAAGACCCGGAGGGTCATGGATTCAAAATTTCAAAAATAAAAGGAGTGGTTAGTTTGAAATCTATTCCTCAATCAAGAATCACCTCATTAATGAAAATAGATGATTTAACAAAAAGAATAGAAATTATTGAAGAGCGAATAAATCAAATTATTGATTTCATAAATCATGACTCGTTGAGCCCGGGTCCTTAAAGTCCAAGGCACAAAGTGCCCAGGGCTAAAGCCCATCACTGAGTTCAAGGTTATATTCATCAAATATTTCATTATTAAATGCAACTTCTGCTGGTTTATTTATTTTTTCAATACGATCATTTGAAAGTCTATCGTTTAATTTTTTCTGAAGTTTTTCATTTTCTAGTTCTGAAACTTTATTTGGATGATATTTAAACCCGTTAAATTCTTTTTCCTCAGTTTTGATCATTAATTTACAAAGAACTTTTGTGGTTGGAATTCGTTTAAACCATTTATCATTAATATTTGTTATAAATTCAATATCTGGAATTAATTCCCAAATTTTTGCATTTTCAATTAATTTATTATCAAATGCAAAAGCAATAGGTTTAATATTAAACTTACCTTTATAATATATACTTTCTACATAATCATCGAAATAAACATCTACTTGTTTAACATTTTCAAGAATTGGTGAAAGAACATCCATTAATTGATTGACGGTTACGAATCTTGATCCACTCATTTATCATTAAATAAAAAAATAAATTATTCAAAAAATGTAAGACATGAATTTTTAAAGTTTATTTTTTATTCATGAAAATAATTATTTCTAATTTCTTTTACTCTCTCATACATACTAGATTTGAAGAATTCGGAACTTTTACCATAATCTCCTAAATGTTTTCTTATCCCCAACGTGTGCCAGTTATTATATGAAACTGAATAAACTTTATCTTTATCTTTACACCTTTCATCACTTCCAATATATTTATATCTCAGTTTTGATTTAGCATTTTCATATTCATTAACGTTTAATAATTCACAGTCTTCCTTTTTAAATTGATGTTTAAGATATTCAGGATTTAATACTCTACGTTTATATGCTCCTAACTTAGTTCTAAAGGTTTTTCTACAAAATTTAGGAATTCCATCCTCTTTAATGTCATCAATGATTTCCATTTCATTATTTTCAATTTCTTCTTCTCGTTTATGAGGTCTTTGATTATGACTCCATTGATTCCATGAAATTAAATATTCATTATCATTATATTTATACCTCATTAGCTTATTTTGGCTTTCATATTCATTTAATAATTCACAATCTTCATTTTTAAATTGAAGTTTAACCCATTCAGGATTTAAACAATGTTTAATTAATCGCGGAATATCTGACATCATCTATATATAGCTTCTTTTATAAAAGATAAAAAAATAAATTATTTTAAAATTAATGTTAATTTTTTTAATGATTTATAAATAAATATATTTTAATGCATCGTCTATATATAGATGTAACAAAAAAAGTCACACAACCCGCACTCATATACTACTTAGGTATAAATTTTTTTTATCCCTAAACAAAACACATTTCTTCTAACTTTTTAAAGTTTTTTTAAAAGATTTTCAATGAATTGTATCATTTTGTAAAAAATTTGATAAAATATTGATGAAATTATTAAAATGAAACCAATTTTTCAATATTACCAGGTAGTTTTTAATATATAGAGAAATATTATTTATGATGACTTTACACAATTCTCTTTCTGCTTTGAGATAATGGAGATGGAAAGTTAAAAATCATGTAAAAAAGTGACAAAAATGGGGAGAAAAAGATGCTACTGCCCATATTGCGATGTTTATTTAGTACATAACAGCTTAAGATCGCGAAGAGACCATCTAAATGGATTTAAGCATTTAGCTGCAGTTTCTATTTATTATCACAGATTTATTCCTGAAGTTTTCAAAAATGGAGGATTTTCAACAAATGAAACAGAAGATACATCAGGTTTACCAAACACACCACAGCCAAAGGGATTACCAAAACCAAATCCAACAAATTCAATCTCACCATTACCTATTCCTCCTGTTATGCCGAAGCCAGTTATATCTTCAACACTTCCTCCAATCCCTCCACCAGTACCACGCCCTTCTGGACCACCTACTCTCCCAACTATTCCTCCATCTTTACCAAAGCCTGTTGGACCTCCTTCAATTCCAAAACCTGTAGGACCACCTACAATACCAAAGCCAATTGGGCCGCCCTCCATTCCAAAACAAGTTGGTCCTCCATCAATACCAAAACCGATCGGTCCGCCTTCTGTTTCAAAGCAGATCGGTCCACAACCTGTCCAAAAACCTATTGGACCGCCTTCAATTCAAAAACCAATAGGTCCTCCTTCAATTCAACGCCCTATAGGTCCGCCATCTCCTGCTTCTGTACAAGAACCAAATCGAGATGATTCCGCAACAAAATGATAGTATTTGTTTAGACTTTTTCAAAGAATAATATAATCTTTTTTTTGATTTTATATAGGATGCAACCGTAATCTATACAGAAAGATCAGAAGAATACATATTTTTATTATTTTACTATGTTATTTTTATTTTCGTCATTATTTTAATTATATATTAATAAATTGTTTTGATTTTATGCCGCTGTATACTTAATTGTAGTTGCTGAAGAAGTAGTAGTTGTATCATATTGACCTTTGCCAAAGAAACTGTTTTTACATTTGACAACTAATTGGGAATATAATTTATGCCCATCTGATGAGTCATGCTTAATAATACTTGTAGTCATCGGATCTATCGCAATATCAGCATCATACGTTTCTGTGATAGAATACCTATTTCGAACAAGGCATTCTCCCATAAAATTCTTAAAAAAGTATGTATAATAATTTCATTTTAAAAAGAATTGTTACTAAATGTAATTTATATTTTCATATTGAAAAATCAAAATTACTAACTTTTTGTTTTGAAAGGCATTTCAATAAAGCCTCATACTCCTCTATGAAAATGTTTCAACAATAGCTAATTGATAATCTAAATATTATTCATAAAATTTAGAAATCATATTTTGAATACAATGTCATACGGGCGTATTTGCACCCTTAAAAATAGGAAAATTTTTCAAAAAATTGACATTTTGAGAAAATATTTTCCATTTTTTACCCTCTACAAGCAATTTTTAATTTCGTATATGGATTGTACTACTCATGGAGGGCACCACGATTCATAAAATGGTTCAACAAAAACAACAAACGAAACATTAAACTTCTAGAAAAATCCGACTTTTACAAGGTTGATTTTACTGATCCATTTGAATATGACAACCCAACTATCTCGATCTCCATTCCAGAATATGTAATAAAATATTTACGAGAAATTGAAATACCAAAAGAAAACACATATAAAAATATTGATTTAATTTGCATATCTAGTTTTGTTCCATTTACACGAGGAGTTGATCTCAATGAACAAGATTTTGAATTCATTGCTAGGCAAGCAATTGATGCTTTACTTTTTGAATATGATCATCCTTTGCGTCTTTACACGACAAATACGGCTAGTGGGTTCAGCTTTGTTCTCCAAAACATAATCTTAAAATTTCTCAAAAACCAAAAAGCGCCAGAAGAAGTTATTGATTGTTTAACAGATTTCTCTAAGGCAATTCAATTCACAGATGACTTCGGTGTCTCTTTCATTCGTCCCGACATGACGAGATGCTTTATCTATGGAACCAACTTCAGAGATCTTGATAAACAAAATTCACTTCGAGATTACTTAGAATGCCTCAAAGAATCAGAAATACAACTTTCCCCAATGAACACTGATCCAAAATGTATTTCGTAATTTCTTAAACATGTTCTTATTTTTTATTTTTTTTTAATTTCTTTATTAATATTTATTATAGGTAACATCAATATAAATAGTCTATTTAAAATATAATTGTTCCACATATGCAAAGACATAAAAGTCGATGGTATAAGTATCAATAGCTTAGATTATAACAGATCTCTATCAAAATTTTGTCTGAATAATAAATTCAAGTCAATCATAATTATCAAATACACGTTTTTGATCATTTGGATTTATTTGTAGCAATGATTAAGTAATAAATGTATAAAAAAAATATTGTAATTTGCACGTTCATAGATTGCGGCTTGTTCAATTTGTTATATTAAATTATTGGATAAGTACCTGATCTAAGTACATACTTACAGGGTCTACACATTGATATTGTGTTTTATTTACTCAGAGCAGGAAAAGCTCTTATTTTCTATGCCAGAATCTTTTAAAATCGGTATTTATATATAATGTGACACTTCGTGTTATTTTCAGCTTAAAATATTTAAATAATGTCAAAATATATAAAAATTTAGGAAAAAATGGAATAATAAAAAAGTTAAATGCAACAAAAATCGCTGTTTGGCCTATTTTAGAAATATCTTCAAATGACTTTAGATCCAACTCGCGATTTTCAAGGAAATTTCACCGCAGTGAAGTAGAGAAATCTCTCGTAGTAGGTTCACAAGGCTTCTGTGAATTCCGGAGAAATATTTGGGCTAGCAACTAAATTAAAATCGATTCCTGTTTGCATGCCTGATTGATGGTTTAGGCGAATTATTATAAAACAATCCTGCATAATATCTGACAAATAAGCCGTGTTGAATGAAGTCTGCTCGTCCGAAGAAAAGAATGGCAACCGATATCTAAATTGAGACAGAGTCTTAAACAGTAAGCATCTAAGATCCCCAAGCCGGTATTTAAAATAGATCCATGCTTTTTTTATTATTTTTACTAAAATAATGTTATAAGGTAGTCACAAAATCTAAGTAGTGAGGCTCTCAAAAATTGAACCGTACTCCATACAAAATTTGTGTATCCTCACTACTTAGATTTTGTGGCCTTCAATTGAGAGGTTAGTTTTGATAGAGCACGTTATAAAATTAAAAGGGAAAAATAAATAAAATTTAAACATTTAATTATATATAATGTAAGGAGTGTAATTCCAAATTTTCTAAAAACTATTCAAATTTGAGCATTTTTTTGGAAATAGTAAATCTAATATGTACATCTAATAACAACATGATTCATCACCTTTTCAAGCTCTGCAGTCAATTTTTTGAAATTTGATTGAAATAAATGTAGCAAAAATTACATTTCATTAGGGAATATATGAGTTTCTCTGGAAACAGGCTGATAAATTTTAAATTTTGTCCAATCAACATGAATGCATTGAGAAATTTGGATTGATTTTCTGGTAGAATCTGGAACAATTCAACCATGTATAAATGGATCATGTAATCATCATGAAATGTTAGTGTTAGAGTTCAAAAGAAACAGAATGAGTGGAAATCAAACACAATCTGAATAATTTTAAACGTATACAATCTTTAAGTTTGTATTTTGAATTCTACATATATGATTGTTTAATTCGTTCTTTCAAATTTTCGGATTCAGGCATGTTTTGATAAAATTCATTCCCAAAAACGTCAATTAACAATTAAATTTAGTGTATTTTAAATATATATACGTATTATATTTTATAAATTATATTAAATTCGCAAAATTTTAAGTTTTAAACAAAAATAAAAAATGTTCAAAATATGAAATTATGCATAGGATATTAAAATTTACATGTTAGCAATTTTTTTGAATTGCTTTCAATTTTCATATTGAAATTTTTAAGATTTTTTTCTGAAATAATAAGCAAGAATATCAACCCAAATAATATTAAATTCCATGCGTTAATTTCCCCTCAAAAGTCATTGACCGCCTCTCAATCTAGATTTTGTGAGTACTTTAGGTTTTCGACAAACTTTTATTTTTACTGAATTTGCCACTTTTTTAATTCAATTATGATTACTTCCGCCTTTGAAATCAAATTATCCCTAGTTTTCGAAGGCGGATATTCGTCTGTTGAACAGATAAAGATCATGAGGAAGCTAGTCGATGAAGTTAAGGCTTTAGATATGTCGAAAATCGATTTAAATTTCGTGGCAAGATATATTCATCAGATTTTTTCAATCGAAAATTTATCTTTATCGACACTAATAATCAACATGTGCTATGAACTGGAGAAAGCAACAAAAGAATACATAACAGAGAAGTATGACTTCGATAAATTGTTTGTTATTACTGGAGACTACAGAACACTTGAATTATATCAGTTAACGACAGAACTGGAGACACTGATGTATCATTACATGAATTACATTATAGATACATATCAGGCAATGCCACATTCAATCGTTTTTGGAATTATTTCAATAAATGACTCTCCAAGATTTATTTTACGAGAAAGTATCCTCGACACAATCGTCAAAGCTATTGAAACATGCCATCAGATTTGGGATATTCCTCAACTTGGCACTTTATTTATCAAAATACTGACAGCAACACAAAATGAAGCAATGTTCGCCTACGTCCCACAAGCAATTGAGCGGGGGATCCCGTTCGTCGTCCAAGATCATTTTATATCAGAAATTGTTTCTCCATTTACTCAAGTAGCTCCATTATCTCCAGATACATGTAAAAATTCAGAAACCATACTATACACCCTTCTACGTTCATGGCCAGGCATAATTCACTTCGGAATGAATCAAAACGTTTTAGTCGATTTATTAACGTCATTTAATCATCAAGCGGAAAGTATTATAGCAGTATTCAGAGAATTACTATTCCTTCAGCACAAAAGTGTTCCAGGAAATGCTTTTGTTGCGTTTACATTAAATTATTTAATTAATTCAGGTCTTATTACAGTTTTAAACGATACAACACCAAATAGTAAGACAGCAGCACTATTTCTAGAGGACTTACTCCCTTCAATTGGCAGTACAATTGCCAGAGATTTAGATTTGTCCGCAATTTCATCAGCTCACGCTCAACAATCAATTACTCCCAACTGCTCATCATTGGTATTTAAATTGGCCCAATCCTATTCGATGAATCAGTCAATTACAAGTATATCTTCTTTTGCTTTCAATTCTATCGATCCGTACTTATGGGAATGGCATAATATTTACAAACTGTTATTTATTATTTTGCCGCATAATGAATCCGAGTGTCAAACAAAAACTGCTTCAATATTCTTTTCAAAACTGTTCGAATGCTTTGCCAACGCATACCTTTCAGACAAAACAGAGAAGAATGTTGCTATGGAAGAGTCTTTGCAAGCTCTTTTCAAGTTATTTGTTCAATATAATAATCTTTGGTCAATTCTCGAAGCTTCTATGCTTTTCCGTAAAGCCATCGATACAACACTCACTAACATCATCAAGAACCAGCCAGATGCGTCCGCTCCTTACTGGCCAATCTTCAAAACCGCTGCTTTTATGTCCTGTCATTCCGCACCGACCAAAATACTCAAAAAGTGGAATTTGTATGACAACATGATCAAGATTGGCTCAAAGATCACGAAACCATGCTGTGCGCAGATGATTTTGAATTCATTGGATTGTCATCCTGATCCAAGCCTCGTCAACGAGACATTTGCGACATTTCTTAGTTCCTCACAACAAGAAATTCGCGAATGCTGCATCGAAAACTTGAGATCCCACATAGGAACGGAATTTTTTGCTAAAACATGTTTCCAAAACATTGTTTTACCAAAATTAATAAGTAGCGAAGATTCCTCATTACTCTCCTTATTCTGTGACTGCATTGTTCACGACAAAAACTGTTTGGAAGTCTCCAAAAACAACAAAGAAATAAGAAAAGTTTTGTTCAAAAAGTGCCGACAAATTTTATTTTTCATTTTGGACAAAAACGAGTTAGAAAAAGAGATTGAATGGTGGGTTGACGAAGGAAACACTTTATATGTCGATATATTCCAAGCAACATTCAATTGCAGTTTTTCAAAAGAAATCCCAAAAACCGTTTTTGAAAAATTCCCATCTTTGATGTTCCCTCTTCCTCCACACATATTTGGGGAGCTCTGCCAAACAAAAGAAGGGGCGGATTTGCTCTCAAAATACGTTAAAAAAGTCATTGAAAATCTTTATGTAAAAAGTGACGAAAAAGAAAGAATGGGCAGCTTTTTAAGTATCTGTTTATTCGGATCCAGTCCTATTACATCATCTTACATGGAATCACACCAAATTCTTGAGAAAATCCTCGAAGCAGATCTAAAAAGTTACAACGCAATCGGACTCAAAATTGCTGGAATTTCTTTACTTTACAAATCCCCTTATATTGTTTCTTGTCTACAAAGATACTCATGGAGCTCTTTCGAGTTCGGACAGACGAAACTCCATTTGCCATCTTTGCCTTCTGTCATCAAAAATTACCAAAGAAAATTGATAAAAAGTGACATTGTTGAGATTCCTCCTGAATACAAAGAAACATGCGAAATGGTGATTTGCATGACGAATCCTAAGAAGAATGTTGACCCTAGAATGAAATTAAAGAACTTGGAATTAACAAAGAAAGGTTCTGTTTCAAATACAAAAGTGGCAAATTTTGTTTTGAAACAAATTTCTTCTTATTATTACAAGAGGTCTAACAGAATATTCCTTTTCGATTTGGTTGGAGCAACACCTTTGATGGAAAAACCTACTTATAGTATAGAAAAAGGAGCTTTGAAACAAGCAAAAAATGAAATTTCAGAAATTATCAAAAAATAACTTTTTTAAGGTGTAATTATTGTTGTATATGTTTTTTATTTATATATTTTTATATGATTGTTAATAAATATTCTTTTTTATTGTAATATATAAACTTGAAAGCATTATATATATTAGATTCTTTCAATGACATCAGAGTTGACTTTATAACATCGAAATTTCATATAGAAAGTCTACTCCCGTTAATTATGCATACAATAGAAATAGTAAAGAAATAATTGAATTTCTTCTTTCATATGGAACAAATATCAAAATTTGATTTTGATATCATCTGACAGAGAAGCATATATTTATTCTTTTTCATGTGATAAACTTAAATAAATAGCTGAACTCTTTCTTTAGAATGGTGAAAATATCAATTAAGAAAAAATATTAGAGAATAGTAGTAAAAACAGTAGAATTTTTGATTTCACAATATGCGAATATCAATGAAAAAGATAAATATGAAGACACCACCCTTTATCATACACCAACGAAAAGGCCAATAATGGAGAAACGCCCATTAAATATGCATCACATCAATAGTAAAGAACAATGATAAATAAATTAATTCTGATCTATAATCCATAAATTGCATAGATACTAATATTTTCCACATGTTTTATCAAAAATTGTTGAATTTATCATCGTGGGGTCTATTCTAAAATTCTTCTTGCATCGTAATATTTATGTAATGTAAATGCATTGAAGGAAATTCTTGAAATCAGAATAAGCTCAAATTTGTATTCGAGCATGACTCGCAGCATCCTGTTTGAATAAAAGTCTTCCATCTGGCGCACTCACTAAGTTTTAGATAGTGAATATTCTTATATGGCTGAGCATATTATGTTATTGTCATATATATGATTTTTGTTGTCTCATCGATAGATCGAATATAAAATGAAAAGTTAATATAATGTAAAAAAATTTTAAAATTGAGAAGATACAAAAGATATAAGGATCCCAAAAAATGAATTTATCAAACTAACAAAGCAATTAGCTATTGTTCGAGCTCTTATAACATTTTCATTATGTCATCAATTTGCGAATCTCCATAAAAATTATTTCGTATTATATCTGAGAGAGAATTACTTTTGAACTCCTTGTTAAAATTAGCTATTCCATTATGTGAATATAAGAGAGCTACCATTTCGCCTTTCTTCTTCAAAAAATCAAGAAAATCTTGTTGATTTTGTTTCCCAAATTGACGAAACTCTTTGTTATACTCTTTCTTACCACGCATAATTGCGAAATCAAGTGGAGTATAATCATTTTCATTTAAAGCATTAATATCGGCACCATGTGAAATTAAAATTTTTCCGATTTCTCCATTAGAAGTTAACGATGCTATATGAAGAGGTGTATTATCATGTGAATTTTGTTGATTGATATTTACACCAGATGAAATTAGAAGTTCCATCAAGTCTTTGTTATCGCTTTCCATATCAAATGCTTTATAATCAAGTGCCACCAATGCGCTAAATTTGATAAGCATTTCTTTCATGATTTCTTTATTGTTATACAATAATGCATAAGCAATAGCATTATTTCCAAATTTATCTGTCATGTTGATGTTTGCACCATGGGAAATCAGAAGTTGAACAATTTCTTTAGAATTCATAAGTGATGCCAAAATAAATGGAGTGATACCAAATTCGTTAGACCTTTGATTTACAAATGCACCATGACTAATTAGAATGTCAATAATTTCTTTATTTTTTAATATGGTTGCAAGATGAAGTAGTGAAAATCTATGCTTTTTACCTTGGACGTTGACATTAGCCCCATATGAAATAAGTAACTCTACCATAGCAGTATTGTTAAGAATTACGGCAACAGTAAGAGGACTTCCAACATTTTCATCTGATTTCTCAATATCAATTCCGAATGAAATTAAATCTTTAACAATATCTGTTTGATTTTCATAAACTGCAACACTAAGAGCTGTTAGTCCAAGTGGACCTTGATAATTGATCTTTCCACCATTCTCATACAAATATTTGCAAAGATCTCGAATATGAAAACATGGAGACAATACTAAACCCAAGTCAAAATCATCAGTTCCAAATAAAATACCTATAAATAATTTAAGATTTAGATGTTTGCAACAGAATTGTAATGCTTGTGATTTGAACTTTTTACATTCCGCCTTGTTATTATTTGACAAATCATAGTAATTTATTAAATCATGAGATTTTACTGCAGCTTCAAATGTAGATGCATCAGGTTTTTGTACCTTCAAACATTCTTGTATAATATATTTATTGTTTCCAATAAATGAATCTGTAAGACATTTTTTGGTGATTTTCGCTTTAAAATTTTTCTTAATAATTTGAAACAATTTTCTGCTCCATTTAAACAACAATTTTCAAGCAATTCAATAAAATCAAGTTTTTCACTTTCCAAGAATTGTGATAATGCATATTTGTCATCATTTAATATTGCCTCTTTATAGGTATTTTTAATGATGTTGTCGTATTTTGAAAGAAATGAGATATTCAAACAGTTTTCGCAATGATATTCTGCAGCCAATTTCTTCATAATCGCTATATACGCATGACGATAACGTAAACGTGTTTCACTAACTTCTTTTATCTTTTTAATTAACTGTTGTGCTATAAAATATCCAGTGCTAATCAAGTTATCCTCAATTTCTTTGATTAATCTATTTATTGAGCTTTTTCCCTCTGAATCTATAGTGTATATTTCTTTCCATGTTTTACAATATCCCTCATACTTATTGAAAAGTACGTGAGCTTGGAGATTTTGGTCGGAAAAACTCTTTTGAATAGTTAAGATGAAAAGCATGAATATGTACATTGAACACTAAATGTCAAAAATTTTAAAAATCCAAGTTTATCGTCAAATTAATATTGAAAACTTTAGATAATATGATAATACCCAATTATTCAATTAAACTTGTCAAATTCGAGAATTCATTTCACCACCTTCTTAGAAAAGTTTTTTTTTCAATTCTGCATTTCAACTCAGAATGTAACAAGAGTAGGTGACAAAAGTGCATACTCTTAAACAACCGTCGGATTTCCGGGTGAAATCGTGACACACTTTCGTCTTTCGTAGGCAGTGGTGGTTGTTACAAAAGGTAACTTCGAATGTAGCGTGAAATCTGCAAAAAAAATTCTGAAATTTGAATGGAGAACACAAAAATTGAATAGTTTACGTCAATAAAAAAGAGAAAAAATTAAGCCAATGTATCTCGGACCTAGGACGTAGAGCAGCAATCACACTGTTTATCCCATTACACTACATGCATCTCTCACCTCAGTAAATGAGATCAACTATATGATAACTTTTTCCCCATTATATTCTTGTGGAAAAGTGACAAATAGCAACTTTGACCCTCTCTCGAATGTAACAATTGAAGTTCTTAATTTTCTTGTTTCAATTCGTTTTATCTTTTAAGTTCAATTTTACAGACCTTCCAAGGGAATAAACAGAATACAAGATACCGTGATCAGTGGCACAATCACAGACAATTTAATTTTCAATGTTTATATATTCGTCTGGATCAATTAGTAGAAGATATGATTGGCAAGATTCCTCATCTATGAAGCGAAGACATTCTCAAAATGTTAGTTATTGACTTCAACGGTGATGTTTCCCTGGAATAACAAATCTTTTAACCAGATTAATGGGAATTATTATTGTTTCATCACATCATTTGATGATTCATGTTAAGCCGATAATAAAGACAGCACATGAAATAGTTGACATGTGCACAAAGAAAGAATATGTTTCCGAGCTTTATTAAACATAAAAATGAATTTAAATTTATTTCAAAATGATAATCTCTATGCATTGATTGCATCATATATCCATTTTTTTATTGAAGAAGAATGCTACAATACACAAAAAATATCCAATGACAAAAATGTACAATTTCATCAATTCCCTATAAGAATACCATGTGAAAAAAAATGACCTTCAGATCCTTCCTGTCACACATGCTTGCTTCTACATGTTCTCTCTTCCTGCTACCAAAACTAAGGAAGTTCTTTCAACAAAGGTTTTGGCTTAGTTTAATTTTTGTTTGAAAATAAATATATAGTGGGAAGAAAAACGTGTAAAACATTGATATTTAGAGGTCACTACTAATATCAATAGTATCCTTATATATATTAGTTTTGGATAATGAATTCAAAACAAATAATAATATTATATCATGTTTCATTCAAAGTCGATGCTAAATGATTCAATATTAATTATTCAAATCGAGGCATTGCATGGATACAATGTTTCTAATAAAGGTTAGAAGTCTAATGATATTCCTTTCTCTTGATAATAATGTGACAGATAATAATGCATTTTGAATTATTATTTCACATTGCATAAGTATGAGAATGCTTTTTGAGATTAAGCAAATTAAAATGAAAAATACAGTCTGACGATTTCTTGCGTGTTAAGACCTGGTTGGCGTGTCAAGAACTTTGGCAAAAATTTTCGTGGAATCATTTTTGGAAATATATTTGATAATATTATAAATAATAATTCATAAATTTGCAAATAGTTTAGTCGGTTTTTGCATTTTTAAAATGTTAGTCACCTTTCTCCTTCCAAAGTGAAAAAAATTGTTTAAAATATAAAAAGAATTTTTATTCGCATAGGCGACAAACAAGGATTTATAAATAAATAATGAGGCTTTGAGTATTGATCTGAATTGAATCAGATAATTAGCCGTAAAAAATCTTCTAATAACGATTTCTCATGCATGAAAGATGGCTATGAGTGGCGTTAATGAGGGCGTTTGATAATTGGAGTTGGACATAAAATTTGGAGATCTTAATTTTTGAGAATTTTGGTGCGATCTTACTGGTACAAGCAAGAGTATGGAAGGAGATTGAACTGAGAAAAAAACTAGAGCATGCAAAAGAATCATGCTACAGCTTAGTTGAATGTCATTTATGCAAATAAAAATATCTTTTTCAAATTTCAAACAAATTTTTGCCACTTTTTGAAAGAAGATAAGGTAACAAACATTTTAAAATGCAAAACCTAGACTTAAACTATGCCGAAATGTGAGCTCACCGTTACGGTTTTTTCTTTTTTTTGGGGCGAGCTTGCTCGCGCCCAAAGAAAAAACCATAACGGTGACTAACATTTAGGAAAAATGTGTCAAAATTTTCCATCATGAGCATCTAATTGTGCATCTACCAGACTACATTGAATTTGGATTAGAACATATAATATGTTCGGGTATTGGAAAATTACTCATCATTAATAGAATTTTTGTTTTCCCTTTATTATGTTATTGAAATTCTGACAAAACAGTTTTGAGGCTGTTGGATTATATCAAATTATTTTAAACACTAATTAATGACAATACAAATTCGTTTAATTGATAATTTATTGGCATAATTTTATTCAATTTTTTGAATCTGAAAATTAGAAGATTCAAACAATATCACATTCATATCCTATCTAAGTTCTCATAATTTGTAAGCGTTATTCAGAAAAATAGATTATAATAGAATTATCGCATTTATTTCGATAGGTTATGATAAACCATAGTGAAAGCAACAAGGGATAAACACTAATTTTGTGCTTTTCTCCCTAGATACACATGTATTTCCATTCCTTATGAGTGGATTGCATGTAATCAATGTTTTGTTACGTCAACTAACAACAGTTTCTAAATAATTTGTACTACATTAGTATGTATGTATGTTCATAATATAAGGAAAAATAGCAAAGTACGAATATGTCAAAAAAGTTAACACGCCAGCCATTTCTTAACACGTGTAATATGTCTTTATCAAATTTATTATATATGAAATTTAAGGGTTCACTAACCATGTTTGCAACTATTCAAATGTAACACTTAAAGATCCTTTTTCCCTATGATTGAATTGATATTTTTATGAACAAATGTAAAAATAACATTCATTCATCATTCTCTATCTTTTCACTGGTTCAAAATCTAATAAAGATCTCGGGAAGAATTTCTTTTTGAAAAGATATATAAGCTTGTGATCTTTGATTTTGAAATGGATAATATTATGCATAGATATGATCATTCTGATGATCATCATTCTCGATACATTGCCTGAAATCAATCAAATCATTTTAAATAAAATAAAAACCTTTACTCTTTAAATTTTTGATTTCAAAACACTCTCAATTCCATTTTGTGAGGAATTTAGACAATTTGAATTAATTTCAGAGTATAAGTATACATCGCTGCTTATAATGGATATGTAAATGTATTTATTTGTATATCATTATTAGTCCATCATTAGTTTGAATTTTTTTGAGTGGGGGGTGTGAATTCTCAGTATCTTCGCTATTCAAAAAATTTCTGAATGAAAATTTTAAGAATTATTTAGCCAAAATGGGAGAAGCAGAAGTTAAACGTTTAGCAGGAAGACCACCACTTGTTACAATCCTTATTCTTTTAATTGGTCCTCTTTGTTCTCAAATTACTAGCGCTTTATATGGTATTATTAACACAATATGGATATCTAGATATATTGGTGAGGCAGGAATGGCAGCAGTAGCAACAGATAATATATGGGAAGGATTTGCACGTTCATTTGGATTATTTTTATCAGTTGCAGGGAGTTCACAAATTTCTGCACTCTTTGGAAAAAACTTATTTGAAGAGGCTAACCAAGTTGCAGCTGATTTATATAGAATTTCTATAATCTGTGGAATCATTGTACCAGCAATCATTATTCCTATCAATAAACCATTTTCCCGATGGTTCAAAGCGAATGAAATTACAACACAGTTAGCTTTTGATTACATTATTCCTCAAGCAGCTGGAAACGTTCTCACATGCATATTTTTGACGAATGTAGGATTTCTTCAGGCAGAAGGAAGGACACTTCTTGTTGGAATCATTGATATTGTTTCTCTAGGAATTGGTATGGGCGTTTTGAATCCAATCTTTTTAGGAAGGCTTCACACTGGAATTGTTGGTCCATCATATTCAACAATTATTGCAGATGGAGTTCCGGGATTTATTTTAACATTTCTTTATTTTAAAGGACGATTTGGAATCAAGCCAAAGCTGAGCGGTTTATTGAAACCATTTAGCAGACATACATTTGAAGCTCTTATTACTGGAAGTTCTCAATTAATTTCCCAGATTAGTACATTTATTCCAGGTATTTTCTTAAGAAGACTGATTGGTTTGTCATTGAATGGATCTTCAGAGTATGATAACGCCATGGCTGCATTCAATGTTCTTTCAAGATTCGTTAACATTGTTGTTGCTGTAATTTTAGCATTCTGCACAGGATTTCTCCCAGCAGCTTCTTATGCTTTTGCAGCAAAGAAATATAAAAGATATCTCAGGCTCGCTCTACATCTTAATTGGATCACTTTTGCCTGGTGCATTATAATGTTCATTTTCGGAATGTGGTATCCAGTTCAAATTGCAAAAATATTTGGAAGCGGAGATGATTTTATTCGATGGAATATTCTTGAGTTGCCCAATTCAAATTGGGGAACAATCGTGTTTTTCGTCAGATACACATTTCAGACAATGCTTCAATCTCAACAAAGAGGTAAAAGATCCATGATTATTAGTTTCACTTCCAATTTCGTTGTCACCATTGCAACTGCGTATATGATGTATTATATAGATACTTCAAAAACAGAAAGAATATTATGGAGTTTTTGCCTCTCTTCTTATGTAGGAATGATTCTCGGAACCATATTACTTGCCAAACCTTTACTAGAAATTTTCAGGGAATCAAAGCAAAATAATGAGGAGAAAGAATCAACAACAAAAAGTGATCAAGAGATTGATGACGAGGATTCAGATGTTCAGGCTCCAATTCATGAATTATAAAGTTATTAAGTTAATCTTGATATTCTCCTTGTGTTCTGATAAAAATAAAAACTTTCTTATAAAAAGTATAATGCATATTTATAACATATGTAATTTTAAGATTTATATACAAACAAATAAAAATTATAAATTTATATTCTTTCGAAAATTAAACTTTTCGATCAAAACATCAATGATGTTGTTATTTTCTACATTTAGTTATCTTTGTTTTGCTCATTAAAATATTTTTTGATCAAATATTGAATTGACATCAGAAATGACAGAAGTTTGCTGGACAAAGAGGGACATTCATGCTCAATAATGTCTCTAAGTTCATCGATCTTGTTGTTATCCTGAATTATTTCTGAGATGATTGTCAAAAACAAAGATTTCGATTCAAGAGAATGTGTAAATAATGCAGAGATGAATGACATGAAATTAGTCTTTTGAATTTTATTGAATGAGAATAATTGAAGGATTGAATAAAAAATTGATTCCAAAACTTCGAATTCTGGTACAAAACCTCGTTGAATGGTATTAACTAAAGCTATAAATAAAGAATTGATCTGTGTAATACTGTGTTCATTTAATAAAATTGAATTTGAAATTGAATGCAGAAAAACAACTAAACGTTGACTAAATTCTTCTGTAAAAAGAAGATCTTCGCTTGATATATTCGAAATAAATGACAAAAACTTAGGAAGAAATTGTTTTGCCATAATAAAATCAAATTCCGAATTTTCACATATGAAAACAACACGATCTAACAGTTGGAATATCCTAAGATCATTATATAATTTCAGTATTCCTAGATTAAAAGCATCTTGTGCCAATAAATTCTGAATAGAAAAAATTATATTCCCAAAAACTTTTGGATTGCAGTCGGTATCTAATACATTATGACACACTGACATAAAATGTATCAAAAAGTCGAAGAAAAGTTCATCAAATGACTTAAAACAATTATCATTTTTCATTTTTTCAAGAAAAGTTGACATAAAACTTGAAATATAGGTCGAAATCTCCGGATCAGTTGATCTTTCTTCTATGATAGAGAAGAATTGATAATATATTCCTTTAAAAAATGACTTGAAATTAAAATTTTTCATTTCTATGATTGATTTAAGATAATGTAAGGCTAATTTAGATATCTGTGTGCTTTGGATCCTATTTGCTAGTGAATTAAATAGATTTGAGATGATGTTGTCGTTAGATATTTGATATGCAAAATTAAAAGCAGATTGAACAAAAGAAGAGCCAAAAGATTTGTTGGAATCAGTCCACAAGAAAGGAAAATCTAATGACGATATCAAATTTACAAATTCTTCACTAGAATTTAATTCATTTAAAATATTTTTTGGGAAAGAACTGAAATTAAAGCATTCAATGACTTCGTGTAAGGTTATAAACTCGAAATTTGACTCCGATAACAGTTTTGTAAGAATTGAAAACAAAATTGAAAATTTATTTGCTTCTTGTGCAAATTTTAAGTAGCGTGGGCTATTAACCATATTTGTACATGCCTTAATAAATTCATTCAAGTACTTAGAAAGGAAATATAAGTTACTTTGATCTAAATTATTAAGGTTTTGAGTTATAACATCAAAAACAATGTTAAAAATAGTAAATTCTGAAGTTATATAGTCATTACAATCAATTGCTGATTGATGTGAATGGATTAAGTGGCAAAAGATTTCTATTGAAAAATTAATCGAAAAATTATTAATATTATCTAATATAATTGATATCGATTGGGTATAATCTGTTGATATAAGTTGTGAGAATGATTTAAGGAATGAATTACTCGGATTTTCATTGAATATTGAAAATAATTCTTCTTTATGCATTTGTATTATATTAAAAATAGTATCTCTAATATTAGAATATTGTTCGAATAGCGATTGTCTTATTGCTTCGTTCTCTCTGACAATTTGGAAGTCAATTAAAGTATTCCATACATCTAATGATAATTCTGCCAGATTTATATTGGATCTGATCATTTCTATTGACAAAACAATACTTGTTATATGCGATAATGAGTTCAAAAAGCTTAAAAATGTAAATTCATCTTTCATTATTCTGAATTGCCTCGTTTTTGAGAGTGATGAGTATATTTGTATGATAGGAAATAGTATATCAGTTATATTCTTCACTAGTACAAATTGACTTACTGTATTAGATAATGAAATTAAGAAACGAGATTTTAAATTTTCTGTTTTATAGCATTCTGTATTGAGAAAAGGGAACTTTGATAGCGTAAGTAAAAGATTTGATGAACATTCTTTATCCAAGTGTTCGCAGTATTCAAAGATCTTTTGAAGCCCCGAATTTTGATTTAAAGAATCTAAAAGTAATGGTGAGAAATTGGACAGCGAGAAGATTTTGAATGTGTTGTAAAATAATTTGGAATATAAAGAAATTGCTGAAATCGAATCAAGCGTGAAATAAAACTTTAAAAATTCCGAATATATATTTGTAGCTTCAACTACACCTGTAGATGAAAGATATGCAGCATAGTAAATACTAATGTATAAATCTGATTTGCTTTGATTTTGAAGATGTCGAATAATTTGCATTCCGTATATGTCTGCTTCACGAAATACACAGGAAAATAGCAAGGCCGCTTCATCTATGATAATATCTTGCTGAAGGTATTGCGAATTTTCTAAGAAGAAATTATAAAAATATTCTCGGTAGATACTGATACGTTTTCGATCTTGATTGAGCAGCTTGCAGAGGGTAGAAAAGCAATAGTGGTATGTTTGATGGCTTAAGTTCGGTATTAATAGAACATCGATGCAAAATTGAATAAAATACGGCTCTGAAGTTAAATTTGTAATAAAGTTCAATGAGCTTTGGGACTCTTCTGTGTTCTTGTAGGCTGTTATCACGATTTCATCCAGTTCTTGCGGCTGAATCGGACATTCCAGCATTCGAAAAGAAAAAAATTAGTTAAATTCGACTCGAAAAATGTTATTTTATTTTGTGAAAAAACACAAATATCATAAAAATGAGCGAAATTTGGGAAAAATGAAAACAATGATTTAGATTAATTAATAATTATACACAAAAATATCACAGAAATTATTGTCATTAAGCATGAATTTGTAAATTAATATAGTGATAAAAATGTTTTTAAACATACATTTTATAACATTCGCATAAGTAAAGTATTAACAATAAATCGAAGGTACTAAGAGCAAATTATGGCCTAAATTAGATCAAAGAGCATCCTAATGTTATCAGTTAAATCAGGATTACGATGAAATACATCGCAATTTTGAACATCAATGATATGGAAGATATCATTAATCACGTTTGAAAAAATATCAATTTCAGTGTCAATTCGTTCCAATTTTGTAACATCAGCGTTTTCTCCTTTGACAAAGCTGATTTCAGGTAGATTTCTTGCAGGAACTATCCCATTTTTAGTGCGGACTGTTATTCCTTTTGGATTTACTACTTTTACAAGGCATCCCTGCTTGTTTAACTTATGCTTTGCAACAACATTTCCTTTATCATCTAATTCAATAATGAATGAAGGCTTAGGACCTGCTTTCCTTGGCATTTATCAAATAATAATGCTAGAATTTTTGAAAGAAAATAAGCGGTTGATTTTTATAAGTTAAATAAAGTTAAGGAAAATAAATGATGCATATTTATGTACATATTATATTGAAATAATTCAAAATTTACTTCTGACAAAAACTTCACAAATGAATTTGAATTAATTCAGTCCTATGATAGATGTATTTTCAATTGAAATAGAATTATATATAATTGAATCGTTATTGAATTGAAAATTCAGTCAAAATAAATTTTTGAATACTGTTGATATTTTCAAAGTAATTTCTTACATATACAAAATTATGCACACAATTATTTAGAATTTATGTTATTAAAAAATTCAAATATTAGCGTAAAATTTGAGAAAGTGTCAAAATCATAAAAATACTAAAAAATATTTGACTTACTGAATTGAAATTATATATTAATTTTGCTGTCTGGTATTTTTCTTTGAAAATATTAAATCTTATGTATAGTTATTATTCAGTCTATTTATGTTAAATAAAAGGAAATAAATTGAATACTTTTTTTCGAATCATTCGATTTTTGAAAGCACTAACGTTGTTGTAAATTTTTTAAGAACTGAGTTTGCCAAGATATTTTAAGCCAATTTCATATATTTTACATCATAATATTTTAATATACATCCTACCAAATATTGCCTTTGCATTTAACATATATCATACGCTTTCTGATTTTTCTGATTTTTTTGTAAAAGTAAATAGAAATCATATTTATAATGTCAGTTGATGAGTACCCCATTATTACAAGTTGAGAATATGAATTTATTAGATATAGTTGCATATCGTTAAATTTTCAAAAATGAAAGATAATTGTTTTATTATGTATTAATTTTAAATAGTTAAAATAGAAGTACATTATTTTCATATAAGTAAAAAGAAACATTACTTTTAATTTTTTTTTAGAGAATTAATTAAAATGTATCATTCTAATTATAATTTCATGTATCCAACTGCTTATATTTCTTGTGATCAACTTAGTTAATACTCGACATAGCAAAACATTCATTTTTTGCTTCCTTTTTGATTCGATAATTAATGAAAATAAGTATGAAACAGAACATACATGCAAAGGGGATGGAAAAATTAAGCATTTTAAATTCGATATTTTAGTAGTAGGATAGGATGGGTTTTGTGACTTTTTTTGTAAACGTAAGAATTCATACAATATCGAGCGATTTTGTATCATTTTTTTAACATATTAATTAAAAAATATATGATTCTTACGGTTTTATTCTTACGTTTTTGAATAAATCAAGATTTAAAAAATTTTCAAAATTGTAAGACATTTACACTCAGCCCATACATAATGAAATAAAAAATAAAAATATATTTATTTATAAACCATTAAAAAAATTAAAGTTAATTTTTATTCTTACATAAATGACCCAACAAGTAAAACCAGATAAAATAGATTATCGAATTTTAGAGGATGTTGTATGCCATTTATTTAATAAAAAAAAAAAAAAAAAAAGGTAGTGGGGCCTCCAGGCACTTCGTGCCCTCTAGCCCTGAAGATGTTTAGTATAAATGAAGTATAAAATGAAGTTTTTTGGGTATAGGGGGCTTCCCAGGGGCTGCGCCCCTTCTAGCCCATAAAAATTTTTGAGAGTCGTCGTCGTTGACTTTTTTGGTAGAGCACTCAAAATAGTAGAACTTTGTCCGGACAAGTAAGGGTCTATCGTCGCTACAGAAAAGTTACGGGCGTTCCAAGGAAGTATACTTTGAGAAGCCTTTTCTCCATTTGAAAACAAGATAGGACGGTTATTTTACAAAACCGACAAGACTTTGACCGAGTAGTTTTCATGTTTTGTCACTTTTCTGTCACTTTTCAGGAAAAAAACATTTTTATTATTATATATAAATGAATTTTACAAAACCACCGTTACCCTTCTTTGGAAATAAGAGTAGATGTAAAGATATTCTATTGAGAGAACTTAAGAAACTACCGAATGGTCTAACATTTGTAGATTTGTTCGGTGGAAGTTTCTATATATCCCATTTGTGCCATACAATATTCCCAGACTCAAAGATTATATGCAATGACTTCGACAACTATATGGACCGTCTCAAACATATACCAGACACAAACAATATATTGAAAGCGTTAAAAGAAAAGATACCTATAGGTAAGATGGAACGTATACCATTAGATAAGAAAAATATTGTGAGAGAGGTTTTGAAAAAAGCAGAATATATAGACTGGGATAGTATATCTGCTAGACTATTATATAGTGGTGCTATAAGAGTTCATGACATTGAAACACTTATGTCAAAAGTTTTATATCTTAACTATACAAATGTTTTCAAAGAGGACATAGAAAAATATATTGAGGGTATAGAGTTTGTGAGATGTCATTGGACAGAGTTGTATGAAAAATATAAAGACAAGGAAAATGTTTTCTTTATAGTGGACCCGCCGTTCTATAACACATGGGATTTTCAATACCAAGTAGACTGGACTTTGAGAGACTCTTTAGAAACTTTAGACGTTTTACATAACCATCCATGCTTTTACTTTACATCCGATAAAAGTGGTTTGGAAACCGTTATGAGATGGTTAGAGGACATACATGACTATGAGTTTAGATATGACAAGATAGAATATGAGAGAGGTCCTATAAACCGGAGAAAGTGTCATAACAAAGAAATTTTACTAGTAAGTAAATGTGGTTTGAAATAGGACTACTTGTTTTAGGTTTTTTCCATTGTGTCATTTATTTATTTGACGTGGCAGAAAAGTACAGAGAATATGAAGATGAACCAATGCCTGCAAATGTTCAGCATATGTACTCGTAAGAGATATTTTTATCTAATATTAAATGGACGCACAGAACTTAGCGAATGCACAGCAACCTGGACAACCAAACCCAGAGAATATTCCAAATGAAGTTAGAATACAAACTGCAATGGCAAACTATGGTCAAGTGCCAACAGATGTACAAATGCAAACTGCCATGTCAAATGACGCTGCGTTAGGTTTGCCACCATGGTATGCAAATATGAGATGGAAAGAGTTTTATACAAACCCCGAAGTGGGATATAAACAACTTTATGCAGATGACGCGAACACAGGAGTTGACCCAGAATATGTTTTCTACCAGAGGAGAAACAGAATGTATGAGCTCCAGTTAAAGAATGCTATGGAACTCAACAGGAAACGTAAGAGACTAGGCGGACATTAGATTTTTACATATAGTAAAATGGGTTTCTTCAGTAGTATTGGAAACTTCTTTCGAAATGTTGGAAGAGGTATATGGAATGGAATAAAAACCGTAGGAAGAGGAATTTGGAACGGAGTCAAAAATATTGGTAAAAGAGTAGGTCAGTTTGTTGGTATTATACCTAAAGACCCCGAACCAGAAGAACAAGCCCCTGTTATACAACAGCCTGAACCTGCACCACAGTCTAGTTGGCAACCAAATCCAACACCTCAACCGTATTAAAAAATTATATTTTTACCGTTCGATAGTAGTTGTATATGAAACTAAGTTCTAAGTAAAACGCATGGTATAATGGAACTATTCTCTTTCTTCCATCTGTTGTAAACCATACTTGAAAGTCTGAAATACTTCCACTTGGTGGTTCGTATAGCTTTGTAGGTTTTTCGTAAAAGTCATTTGCCAAGCATAAAAAAGAGTTTTGCGCACCAGAAAATGAAAGCATGAACGATAATAGCATCTGAGTCGAAAACATTTTCATATGTTCCATTAGGGTTTTCGACTTCATAAAAGTCCGGGTGTACTGGATATGCTGCAGGCTGATTTAACATCCTCATAAATCTATACCATGCCAAGTTGTTATATTTTGTAGAAATATAAACGTTTTCTCCAAGGTCTTCTATTCTATTGATTTTAACAGTTGCATTTTTCCTGTCATATATAATATCGAGATGGTACTCTCCTCGTCAATGTTATACTTGGTTTGCATATTCGATATAGATATCGTTTATTTTTTCTTGAAAAGCTTGAAGAGTTGTTTCTAAGTTTACAAGCAAATTCACTTGTAAAAGTTTTCCCTGTTCAAATTTCTCATACATACGTTTTTCTTTGTTATAGTATCGAACTTCAAAACCGACCGTAAATGGGAAACCATGTATGGCTTTCTGAAATGAACTTCATTCTACGAAAGCCAATAGCTTTTGTGACGGATGGGTCTCTTAACCATCTTAACGGGTAGTCAAAACGATAGCCTTCATGCTTTACGGTTCTCTGTCTCAAACTTTTTGACCGACATTCGTAAAAAGTTCATCTAATGGTTTAGTTGTAGCAACTCTTGAATTTTCTTTTTCTATTGGAAGCATATTTTATCTAGAATAAAAATGTCAAATGAAACAGCGTCTATGATGAGAGAAATACAACACAACCGACAAACTCATTATACAAGCTCTAAATAAGAAACACAACAAACTTTTCAAACTATTCTAAGATATCTGAGTCATTGAAAGAAGGAAACTTAAAACTGACATTAAACCCAATGACAGATGAGTTTTCTGTTTCAAGACAATAAGAACCATACTGTTTGTATAAATCCAACAAAAGGAACTTTAAACGAGAAACCTATATCTGAACTTCTTTTGAAAGCAGATGTTGACAACAAAGCAGACAAAACATATGTAGACGATGCAATAGCAAAAGAAGAAGAAAAGAGCTAACAAAGCTTATGCAACAAAAGAACATACTCATCCCTGAACTAGCAGACAAAACATATGTTGACAATAAAATGTCAAGTGAAGTGACAAGAGCTGAAAACGAATATTCTAAAAAGACTCATATACATACCATTGCAAATATTACAAACTTACAAGAAACCTTAAACATGAAAAGTGCCGTTGGACATACACATTTCTATATCTGAAATAACAGACTTAAACGTTAGCCTTGAAAAGAAAGCAGATAAAACATATGTTAAACGATGAGTTAGCATGTGTGGCTAGTAAGTTAGAGAAGAAAGCAGATAAGGAATATGTGGATGAAAAAGA